AAGATACCGTCAACCTCGATCAACCAATGATAGCGCCCACTACCCATAAAATACCTTTAAACATTGTAATGTGCGCTAACAGTTTATAGGAGAACCTTTCCCAAAACAGCTGTATAAAAAAAATGGCGGAAATTTTTGTAAGAGAGCAAATGAAGCAATAAACTATTTGAATAAGGCTGTAGCTAGGAGTGCTGAAGATGGTTTTATACTTACAAGAATCCAAGAATTATAACTTTTTCGAATCCTTCAATGCCTTGGAACAACGTAGTTAACTGTAAGAAAAAATCAAAAAATGACGTCTTAATTTCCTTTATGTAAAAACGAAACTGGTCACTTTGTATCATGTAACGATAAACGTTTCCCTCTTTATAACTCATTACAAACGAAACATTTTTTGTTCTCAAGAACACAATTCAAAGAGAAGAACCTTTTCTTGTTCTTCCTCGTTCCAAGATTCAAGAAACCGAGTCGATGTCCATTCCCACTTCCTTACCTCTTGTTCAACTTGGTTCTCTAGTGTCTTGTATCTTGTTGAAGACTTGTTTTCCAAATCCTTGTCAAAAACTTTGTCCATGATGGTAATAGCGACATCAACTCCCACCAGGTCTAATGATGGAATTGTTAAACTATTAACATCACTACCTTTAATAAATTCAATTCTTGGAATCTTTTTCTTTTTCTTTCATTTCTTCCTGTAATTCAAGCAAGGATAATCACATACTTCTTTACATTTCGAGAACTAACCTATTGTTTATATTTTACCCGTAGTTTCTGAGGTTGTCATTAACAGGCGCATTTATAGCGGGCTACGGAGGTTTAGGGAGAGAAGACAAAAGCGCCCCAGCGCGTAGCTCCATCCTCCCAACACGAGACATTTGCGAATACGGACATTTTCCGAGCACCTTCGTTGATCAACGAATATCACCCGAACATTTTGAAACACCTTCGACAATTACCGAAACCCTTCCGAAAATTGCCCAAGATTTCCGATGATTTCTGAAGATTGCCGAAGGCCACCAAAAGCTCGCCGCGATACGCCATAGCGCTCGCTCAGGATAAACGCCTGCACTGCATGTTAGGTTGTGTTCGATTCGAGTATTTCTATAATCTTGCAAAACAAAATGTTGAACGTTGAGTATCCAGTTTCCTTTTAACGGGTGTCTGGAAAACCCGAATAGCGAATGGCGAATAGTCGCGAATAGCGAACAGCGAATAGTGGCGAACAGTCTCGAATAGTGGCGAATAGTGGCAAATAGTGGCAAATAGGGTACCCAGTATCTCGCAGTTTGCCTCGTAGCAACTTAGGATGGCATTTTTCCGCTAAAAAGCACAGACGCTTATCAGGACAAAAGGTGTTTCTAAACGTAATTTTTTTCTGTTTTAACCGCTGCAAAAGCGTAAATACGTCTTTATTAGATTATCCTTGTGTTTTCTGTCTTCTTAATGTCGGCGATGGACAGCCTACTAGCCTGAGTCCAGAGAAGAAAAGGTAATAACTTCACTGAAATTCTGTTGCTTATTTGGATAATTAATTAACGCTGGATATTAGATCTAAAGCGGTGACTATTGACGACTATTCGTCACTATTCGCCACTTTTCGCGACTGTTCGCCACTATTCGCACTATTCGCACTATTCGGGACTATTCGCTATTCGCTATTCGGGTTTTCCAGACACCCCTTTTTAACTGACGCCACTTCAGAGACTCTCCTTGGGCTCGTCACGCAATCTTTCCTCCCCTATGCAGGAATAACGAGTGAATTTAACCAATATAAAATTTTTTAAAATTGGCGAATGAGATATTCTATTTTCACCTTCTTTCACGGTGAGGTTAACTCTTCTTTCATCCTGTCCCATGACATTTTTCGCCACACATTTGTAAACACCTTGGTCAGCATCACGGGTGTTAAATATCAAGAGTGAACCGTCCTTTTGAAGAATTTTCCCTCTTCTATTTTCACTACCATCATCAAGTTCTCCACTTTTATTAACTGGCGCTGTAGCGTTTACAGCGTGACCGTCGGGTGTTATCCAACTGAATGTTGGTTGTGGAAGACCATCTGCCTGACAGGTGAGTGTCACGTTTTCTTCAGTGCCAGTTTCGGTTGGTGGATCAACGTAGTAGATTGAAGGTCGTGCTAAAAAGGAAAATAAATAAAATAAAGTTGCTCTGTCGTGATAATTGACTGTAATATTAGTGAGCCAAGAGAGGAAGAGGAGTAAGAGAGGAAATCCCTCA